GTACATTTTGATATTCTTTGGCTTTCGTAGGTAATTGGAACCAACAACAATTGATCGCTTGTGGGAAGTGTATGTAACAAACAGCCCTTTTCCATACACTCAGATCAAAGAGATAAGCTCACATTAGAGATTTAAAATTTGTAAGACGGGAATATCTTTTGTATTTAATGGCATTGGAAAACAAATAGATGTGGACCAACTAAGGAAACCAGGACCACCCAGAAAGAGACTTGCTACAAATCGTAACCCAGCCGTAGTAAGCAAAGTTGGCATAACGTAAAAGATAAGAACCCACGAAAGCAAAGATCAGCTTCAAACACAGTCTCAGCCAACAGTACGCAACATAATCAAGAAAAGCGACACAAGTCACATACACAAATGTCTTCCACGACATATCAGTTCAAGTGTCGCATCAATCAAGCAACTAGAGAATGAAGCATATATCCATACGAAGAGTACATTTAAGTCGCCTATGGATCCCTTCGAGATCTCACTGCTGAAATGGAACAATAAATGGCTTAAGAGCTTACAGAGAGGATATGACGGAGTATTTTGCAATGAAGCTACGCTGCTGGACTATTGACAAGATGCGCGGTAACCTGATAGAGCATGACTGGACGTAGCGACATGGATTGAAAACGATGTAGTGAGGTTCCAAAATCGTTTAAATATAAAGTACTCAATTTTCATATAGTATATATATATATAAATGTGGGAGGGGTGAAAATAAAGAAGAATCAAATTTCTCTCTGTATTAGGAACATCAAACTGAATCATAAGTAACAGTATAAGTAGCTATGAGTTCATTATTAGCGGACCGTTTATAAATTAGAGGTCATCTCTTAGGTCAATCATATCCTTACCAACTACTTAAGCATGGACAAATTCGACAGATATGTCTTCGTTTTTTGTTTTGTTAAAAATATACGATACCCTATAAACCCTACCTGGTATTGTATCTTTATGTTGAATTTATTTTTTTAACATCATGAACAGGCTTTGTAATTATAATCAGTTACAATATAATCAATTGTTGGTCATAATATTAACTTAATAATGCAAGCCTACATCATATATCTTATCATCAGGATACCCATCTTAACTTCTAATAGAAATATTTTAATACAAAAACCAATAAGTAACATTTTAGTTCCTTTCGAATGAGCTAAAAACCCTTGAAAAATACATACAAAAACGCCATCTAGTAATGTTATCTAACGATTCAATGGAATCTAAGAAGCTTCATCTAAAGGACACCAGGGGTTTATTTTATATAGCTTCTCGTATTTTAATTTCAGCAAATGTTCTTTAATTGATTCTTAAATATATAAATCATCATTTCTTGTCCTTATTGGTAGGTGACTAAAACTACAATATACCTATGCCTTTACCGAGTTGTTCACGTTCAAAACAAAGTTTTTTTTAATTTTTAAAATTCTAGTTCAGTACTCAAATTTGATGCAAACGCTTAGAAAACAAATCTGGCAATAACTTATTCCTCAATACGAACTCAGAAAGTATCTTGTTTTATTTAAAGTCTATAAATTGGCTAATCTTCTAGAAACTTATACATTAAAATTTCTCGTGAATATACAGCAAGGCTGTTCTTGAATATTTTTTATTGACATTCGTATGAATATATGTAGAAACAAATTTCGCGAACTTTCAAATTTGTTTAGAAAATATATATCAATGCAATAACCGAGAAGTAATCGTAGAATTGCAATCTATGTAACTAGATCATTTCCTATAAATTACCGTTACATCTCACAAGGGTAAATAACATACAATCAACGACGTAACCATTTGGATTTTTTGAATTTCTCTACAGTGCCCCTAAAATATCAGCATTATTATAAGTGGCGATCCGCAGATTATCGGTTAACTCTTATGTTGTTTCTTAGAAGGAAGACAGTCATAATGTAATACTTGAAAGACAATATGTATTAACAGTATAATACTGATATTTTACGTATATCTTGAATAGACAACACAGTGAATAAAAGTAAGCATATATTTGTAATTTTTCTTTGTGTGTGTATGTGTGACATGAAATGCCTCCCAGGACTTTTATTGCATGTTTTATGTATGTTTATGTATTGTATTTACACACATATGCATTTCAGTATGTTTCGATAGGTGTTATCCAGATAGTGGACTTCATTATTCAGACCTGTTAGAGAAAACGAAGTCACTTCAAAATATTTCAATACTACCATTGAGTGAACCAGGTCTTAACAGCCATACGTGAATACTTTTTAGCATTTGTAAGTTTTTAAGACTAACAGCATGCTCTTCCTTAATGCCTTGTGTGTCAGTGTAAGACTGGAACATTTTTTAAGGTTTATATATATATATATGCATAACAAATTATAAGGTAAAAACTTACCTAAATGTTTGTGGCTTTCAAACTTGTTAAATAATATTATGAATACATTAATGAAATAGTTCAGCTGACCATAAACTTATACTAGGCTATGGATCAGCGAGTAGTACAGCTGACCATAAACTTATACTAGGCTATGGATCAGCGAGTAGTACAGCTGACCATAAACTTATACTAGGCTATGGATCAGCGAGTAGTACAGCTGACCATAAACTTATACTAGGCTATGGATCAGCGAGTTAATGTATATTTTACAAACCTTTTCATTTATTTCTTTTTACACTATTTGCTTAGTACATCAGTATATCAGTATATTAGTATATCAGTATATCAGTATATTAGTATATCAGTATATCAGTATATTAGTATATCAGTATATCAGTATATCAGTATATTAGTACATCAGTATATTAGTATATTAGTATATCAGTATATCAGTATATTAGTATATCAGTATATCAGTATATTAGTATATCAGTATATTAGTACATCAGTATATCAGTATATCAGTATATCAGTATATTAGTATATCAGTATATCAGTATATTAGTATATCAGTATATTAGTATATCAGTATATCAGTATATTAGTACATCAGTATATCAGTATATTAGTATATCAGTATATCAGTATATTAGTATATCAGTATATCAGTATATTAGTATATCAGTATATCAGTATATTAGTACATCAGTTTTTGACCAGTTATTAGTTTTACATAGCTACTTCAATGAAAATGAAGAGTAAAGTAGACTTATTTACATATCTGTCGTTATATAACACTGTGACAAAACCTGTGTTTTATCTTTTTTTTTTTAAAGAAACTGTAATGAGTTTTGTACATCCCCGCGATTTTCTGTTATCAATATTTAGTGTACATAAAGGAAACTTTTCGGGAATAATCCATATTCAGAACTATATATATTTGTATTGTTGAATAGCTGTTATCAATTATACTGATTAAAAAACGTGTAAAAATAGCAAGAGAAATACTTTGAAATATCCTATAGTATCGATTCACGAGTGAGTTAAATCATTTCTGTTTTACGGTAATACTATCTACCGATATCCAATTATCTAACTATTTTTGCTTCAAAGAATATCCCGTAGTGAGAGTGGAACTTAGAATGAATTTTGGTACTTGCTTACAAATAATATCAATTACGTTAATGTGATAAGCTGTGTTCACTGTAGCAAGTTTACAAATATATCATGATTTTCTAACTATACATTAATCTACCCCAGTAACATGGCAAATGGCAATGTTTCATCCTGGTAACCATTTTTCATCTGATATCTTTACTTGATATCTGTGGAGCAACTACCCATAAGTAAACACAAAATACAGATAAGAAAAGGGAAGGGAAAAAAAAGAGCTGCCAACAGAGAAAGTGCGTATTATACGAGTTTGTTTTTATAGACACAAAGATATTAAAGGCACATTTATTATAAATCTAAATCGGTCATATCACTTTAACTGAAGTTGTCAATGCTTTAAACTCCAGTAATGTGAATCTTCATGATGTTAGAAAAACACGTAGGTTCAAAAAGTCTTGATAGAAATAAAT